ACAGAATAAGTTGGTGAGTTGTTAGAAGATGTTTGATAATTTAGCTGTTTGATCATATTAATTAGTAAACAATGTCATATTTAAAAACGATAACTCAATACTCTCATATTTGCAGGATTTTCATTTTAGGGCTCTATCCAAAAACGCAAGGGCCAACAATGTTTAGGATTCAGGGTTTATTAAAAATGATAAAAGGGGTCAAAGCGTGATTTTTAACCTGAAATGTCATTTTCAAAACACCCCGCAATCAGTGATGATGGAGTATATGGCCCAAGGACCCCGGACCACATACTTCCACTACCGTAATCAGACCCAACAGACACAAAGGGACCAAGCCCGGCAAAATGAAGCTCTGAGCAGCCCACAATACGCAAAGGGGTGCTTTCGGCCTCATGGCCGAAGGCTACCAGTAACAGAATCGAGCTCAAAAACATCACAGGAGAACAAGGCTTGAAAACCAAGCCTTCGGCACTTGAAGCCCTCGGCACAGAAAGGCCCCCGGTAAGAAGAGTCTTCGGCCAAACACCCTTCAGCCGAAAACACCCTCCTCGACAGAATTTCCTCTCCACATGTGCCTGAATCACCGTACCAAGTACAATGTCACATCCAACCGCCGCATTTAATGTGGCCACATGCAAGTGCCGGTGCTACCTCGATTGACGTGATCCTTGGCCGTCGGATGCTTGACACATGTTCCGCTCTAGCATTTATTGCTGCTATAAATAGCAGACCATTTCCCGTTGTAAAGGCATCACAAGTTCACATAACGAATAACCACTCCCTCTCTTACTATTGCTATCACTTCTCTCTAGTTATTACTCGCAATAACCCTTCAGATAAGCTACCCCGGGTACACTATCCATCAAAAGAAAGTATTGTCATCTTCTTAGGTTCTCTTTCAATAATTGAAATATCGATTATATTTCTGCTTTAAAATCACGTTATTATCAAAATGCCTAAAACCTAGTTCATCAAACTAAACTATTAAATATTAATGTTAAATAAGGAGTGAATATTTTTGTAACACGTGAAACTTTAAGTTCAAAACTAGATTAAATTTCCGTGAAAATCTGTTGGAGTAGGAGATCACTCAACTTGTGTCTTTGCACACACGCACACATACATACATACTAGCTTTTTATACGCGCAATGCGCGATAATAATTGACCAATATTAAAACCTTGAACAAATATAATTCATTTGCATATTGTACGATGTACTTAATTGAGAATAATATATATCAAAAGAAATTATACCTCTTAATGTCTCTTAGCTAGGTTGGAACCAAGCGAATGCACTATAACCTCATTAACAATAGAATTTACAATTTGTTTTATACCCCAACTTCATGTGATTGATAGTAATAAAATTGATGTGACCTCATTAACTTTTGTTACAATAATCCAACATGTATTGATCGTGAATAGCTTTTTATCAATTTTAGATTTAAACTAATTATTATTATTTTTGTAAAATAAATAATTAAATCTATGACATCACTATGACACTTCCAAGGAGGAGGTCACATGTGTGAAACTCATCCCGGTCAAGGATGCTGACATTTCACAGAAGAGATACTATACATGCGAGAGTAACACAAAAAAGGCTAACTCCCCCTAAAGTCGGGCCTGATTGAAGAAGTAGGGAAGTTATACGGAGTAGCTCCAGGTTGTCTAGAAATATGGTCTTTTCATAAAATAATATTTCCTCCGTTCTTTTTTAGTTGTAACATTATCATTTTCAGGTTTGTCATCACACAACTTTGACTGTAGTTATATTTAATTCTCGATTAGTAAAAAAAATAAAAACCAGAAATTATAAAAATTTAGAATGAAACAAACCCAACAATATTTAAAAACTAGTTCTCATAACTATTCATGTTGCAACTAAAAAGAAACAGAGTACAGTAATACTTAAAAATGAAGTTAATGATAAATACATAACTTTACGTAATAATAAACTTTAGTTTTAGTACAATTTAAATTTGTGTTTAATTCCTGCCCTTTTATTGAAAAAACCTACAATTTTATTTGGAGTTTTTAAGGTAATTCTTGTGTTTATCAAAAGACTGAACATTCAATTTTTTTGGGCGGCTGCTTTTGTCACGGATCCAGTTCGTGACAAAGACTAGAGCCCGTTTGGTAATACTGAAATTAGTTAAATTGGTTGATTTTGCTGAAATTTATGAAGTGCTGACTGAAGTAGCTGTATTGGTTGATTCTCCTGATTCATAAAAATATTATATTTTAAATATTTGTTATTAATAAATTAAATAAAAAATCATATGAAAAATAGCTAAAATGATCCTCTACAGTAATTTCAGCAAATACAACCAGAAAAATAACTCCAACATTACTTTTTCTGCTTATTACAAAGTTCAGCGCGCGAAATCAAAAGTTACGTGTTTGGTGAAAAAATTGGCTGATAAGCGTGATAGGCCGAAAAAAGGGTCACTAAACGAGCTCTAAATATTCATTTTTTTGGGCGACTACATTTTGTCACGGATCTATTCTGTGACAAAGACGAAAAATTCGTTTTGGGGTGGCTAAAGTTTTGTCACGGATCGTGTCCGTGACAAAGAGGAAAAAATCGAATTTATTTTAGGCGGCTAAACTTTGTCACGGATCTAGTCCGTGACAAATATATATTGCCGAACGGTGAGCCATTTTGACAGGGAAGTCACCTGTGACAAACGCTTGTCACGAACGGAGTGCCGTGACACATATTTGTCTGGCCTGTAGTGTCGCGGGTTTTGTTACGGACGGAATCCATGACAAAATTTTTTGTAAGAGATTTTTTATATAGCGACCCGTGACAAAATTCGTGACAAATGAGCTGTTTTTTGTATTGACCGGACCTAGAACATTTAGGGTTGGAGAAAATATTGAAGTTTCGGTATACGACTTTTTCTTTGAAGAGTTCGGTATCCGACATTTAGCCAGGGCCGATCCTAACATTTTTTTGGCCGGAGTCGAATTTTTGTAAAAGGCCTTTGAATAATGTAAAATTTGGATATTAGGATTTGTAAGCAATAATTTAATTAATATGCCTATATCATATAATTAATCCCACATAGCTTCAAGATATTATTTTGATTAATATTTTTTGTATTGTTATTATTTTAATAAAATAGAAAAATTGTATATATAATACTAGAATACAATTACTTATGGGCCCTTATTATTTTTCAAGTTTTTTGGGCCTGAGGCAATTGCCTCTTTGCCTCAATAGAGGGTTCGGCCCTGCATTTAGCTTACCATATCTAAAGGCTACTGAATTTATCGAAATGTTTGGTATAGTGATACTTTTAATACAGTATGGTACCATACTGAATTACTTCAGTGTGAAATCAATATATATTGAAAATAAACACTATACCACTATATATATCATAATGTTGAAAGTCCAAACCAATAATTCCTTTAAGATTATAAAAGACTAAAATCACAACATTAATCCAAGGATAAATGACTTTATATCTAGCCCTCATGAATTACTTATACTTTATGTTGAAGATCGGTATTATTTTATTGACCTTTTTATTTCAATATTACTAAAATGAATGAAAAAGACAAATTTGTGACATGTTTTAAATATTTCAAAAAATGTGACTAAACGTCATATTCCTTATATTTAATCATACATTTATTATTTTAATATTCATTTTATATATTTGATTAGTAGTCTTACGACCGCAACACCGCCGCCGCCGGTACCACCGCCACTGCCAGCGCCACCACCGGCACCACCGCCACTGTCGGCGCTGCCGCCGGCACCACCACCACTGTCGGCGCCGCCAAAGTGACTCCGGCCAAAGTGACTGCGGCCAAAAGTGACTTCGGTTAAAGTGACTGTTCAACGGTCACAGTCACTCCGACGAGTGACTTCCCGCACATCAGCCGTATTGACTTCCCGCCTACCTACCACAATGACTGCCCGCTCGTTGGCCACCGTTGTCCATGTCGGAAACCACCAACTCCCACCGTCGTCTGCCGCCAAGTCCTGCCCTCTCCTACACCAACCCAACCCAGCCCCTCCCCTACGTCACCCAACCGGCTCGACTTTGACAGCTGCCCAGCCACCCCCGGACGCCGCCGACACGGTCAGTGGCCAGCCCCACTTCCAGCACTTCCCCCAACCGTGATTGCCCAATAAGCCACCACAGACCCCCACCACAACGCCGCCATCCCCTACCATGACCCCACCAAGCCTACCATTACCGTAGCCTAACCCTAGTCACCGTCGCGGATCTAGATCTGGATATTAATGGATCTGTACTATTGAAACCATTGGCGTGAGTACATGCGACGACAATGGAAGGACACAACGAGGCAACGATGTGCTCCACTCGCACGAAGGAGGACGGAAAGGCAACGACGTCCCACGAAGGATGCGGTGGACGAAGTTCGTTCGTAGCAACGCAACCACACAGATCTCCCTTCGGAGTGATGGAGATGACTAGCGACACAGGCTGCTGGATTCTACCTTCCAAGCGGCGGCGAAGATTTCACAACTAACATTGATTTTCTCTATTTCATTTGACATAAAATAATTTGTTGTATTAAATCATGATATTTAATTACGGAGAATTATTTTTTATTTATCTCTATTCCACTCTCTCCCATTTTTAAAATGTAAATTTGTATGTATATAGTTATAAAATTTTATTTATTTTTGCATATTCAGTTTTAACTTAATGTGCGATATTCTTTATTAGGCTATTGATTTTGACTATTACGTAGCATTAATTTGGAATCTTCATTATTAACATTATAATTTTAAAATTCGATTTTCTATTCATACCTTTAAATCTAATTCCTCCGTCGCATAAAATAAGTCTGACTTTCCTTTCTGGGTCGTTCCAAAAAATTGTTCTCATTTCCTTTTTGTAAAGTTTTGTATAGCTAACATTCATTTACATTTTTAATAGTCAACTGCGAAATACATTTCCATTTTATTCTCACTTTTTTAAGTCATGTACTTATTTTTGGTACATAGTGCGGCGGCATACAGTTTCATCAGAAGAGAACGAAAGCTAAAGCAGAGCAACTATGAAGCGGGAGGAGATGGATAGTGGCATCCCTTACCTTCAAGAAGAAATCCTCACAAACATTCTTAAGCGGCTTCCTGTGAAATCTCTGGTCCGATTCCGATGCGTGTGCCGTTTTTGGAAGCATCACTTCAACGCCCCTTCCTTCATCCTCGACCACCTCACCTATTCCAGCCATCAAATCCCTTCTCTGATTACTGACTTGGAAGGCACTTCGAATTCATATTCGCCCGATCTGGACATGGACCTTCGCGGGGCTCTGGACGGACATCCGACCGGTTCCATCAGGCCCTACAGGATTATCGGCTCCTGCGACGGCTTGCTCTGTGTTCAAACCGATCTGCTTGATTCCGTCTCTCCTACTCTTTCAGTGTGGAATCCTGCGATTCGAGAGGTTATGCAGGTTCCCAGAAGTATAACAATTAGTGGTGTTTCATTTTGTAATTTAGCATTTGGATTCAGTCCATCTGTTAATGATTACAAGATTGTGAAAATCTATACGGCGATGGATGCTGTGGTTAGTAGAGTCGAAGTGTATTCATTAGCCACAAATTCATGGAGGGACATAGAATTCGGCATTTTAAAGGGTGGATACTTTTTCACTGAGAGCCTCAATGTTAGTGGATCGATCTTTTGGTTAACATGGAAGCCAGATTTGGAATTGGAAGAGGGATGGACACAATGTGCTCTTGCCATAGTTTCTTTTGATTTAACATTGGAAGAGTTTAAATTGGTACCAACACCTCCTTTATCCGAGTATGGAGTACCTAAACTGAATGTGTATGAGAACAGACTTGCCCTACTTCATTCCTCTTCTGCTCCAAACTCAAGTGCTATTGATTTGTGGGTGTTTGAGGAAGGCATTGGCGCCTCTTGGAGTAAGAAGGTGACCTTTGGTCCTTATCCATACTCTTTAGAACCATTGACCATTTTTAGGAATCAAATTGTCGGCAGTGCTTTTAACATTAGCAAGGTTCGATGTATGGAGGAGGAGGGGATGGAGGAGGAGGAGGAGGAGAAGAGAACTTATGATATTTTTTTGATTAATCTCACTTTTAATGAATTTATAGTGATCGTTCTTTTGAATATGTTGAAAGTCTTTTGTCCCCGAGCAATATCCAGCATAGGAACCCTTGATTCTATGTGTTATATGGACCAGAAGACAGTTGAGATATTAAAGATTTTGGTGTTCATGTTTATTCATTGTTTATTCACTAAACAATTGCTTATGAGCTGAGCATTTTGAAGTTTCAACTATCATTCAATATAGTGGTTGTAATATTTGTAATCTCATCTTTATACAAAATAATAAACATGAATGAGGGTAAGCCTATTTTTGGTGTAAAAAATTTGTTGGTGTAATAATGTAGCTATCCATGCATGTACAATGTGCATAAGCATTTGTAACTCCTAGCTTTGAATACCTCCTCACCCAATCGTCGTTCATCCTGTTAGTACAGCTTCACACATTCAATCTAGACGATCCATGTCCTCATATCATGACCGGGTTGTAAGGTTCCATTTCGGCCCACCTTTGTCGTACCCTTTGTCTTCTCTCTGGTGTAACTCTGCGAGTCATTATTTTCATTTTTCATTTGTTTTGAATCTTTAATTTTGATGGTCAAAATAATTTGATTCTAGGCACCTGCAAACCTATTGTTTTTCTGTTCAGTGCTTCGAAACAAAAAGGCGCTCTCACCTTCAATCGCCACCCTTTTCATTCTAGCTCTTTTGGGGACAGCTCAAGTTGCGGACCTATTGAGATCATTCCTTTCAGAACCCAACAAGATCTGTTATTCAATAGAGTGAGTGTGAAACTTTATAAACGCGAGCAGGAGAACAGAGATCGGTTCTGACGTCAAACAAGTTATCAACCTGAAAAGCTCCACAGAGTTGTACCCATTTCTTATTTTTTGTGCATCTTTTGTTCACATGTATTTAAGGATGACAACAGGGGAGGGGGGCCGTGGGGAACTACCCCATGGGGGGGGGGGGGGGAGCTGGGGTGGGTGGTGGGGAGGGAGAATTATTTCCTCCACGCTTAAATATGGGGCAGGTGACGGGTTATGCACCCTGGCACCGTCCCCGCCCCGTCCCCCGTATATACACACATATTAATAATTAATAATAATACTAATAATGATAAGGGTTTTTACAAAAATATTACTAAAATAAAATTTATTTTACACAAATATGACTATTAGTTACTACAATGTAGTGTCATAGTAACCTAAGTTAAAAATTGAACATAAGTTACTATAATTTCATTACTACTCTAGTCACTAGTCACATTTTTGTAAACAAGCTTCATTTTAGTCATAAATATGTAATTACTAATACGAATTAATTAAAATAGCATGGTGGCCCGGTGGATTTAGTTGTTTCTTATCTAATGGGCTATGCCTAATGAGTCTATCTAATTCTTGTTTAATAACTCAGGGATCTTGTAAAATTGGTTATCAAAATCATATACAGTAAAATGAATTTGGGAAAGTTATAAAGTGATATTAGCTTAAACGCCTCAGGCACAGTGTGAATGTTTTCTTCTTTTACTATTATAGTGCATTAATTCTTTTCTTATGAATGTCACCTTTATGATTGTAGTTAGATCTCTTAAAAATCTGATGACCATAGGTCGTCTTAGATGTTATCAAATGACCATGATTGATTGAATGAAGGGCTTAAGAAAATATTATAGAGCTAATCAATGCTAATAAAGTGTTAGATAAAATGACTAAATCAAAACGTGTGTAATGTGTTCTAGATTTGAAATGGGATGTAAGATTACATTGACACTTAAAAACTAAAAGTTTTTTTGGCTACATACTAGAAGTGTTGTTTGAATTTTGAAAAACTGTCTGGGTTTAAAATAGTGTTACTTTTTGACGAATAAATCCCCGTTGGGCACCCGTAGGTCTAGCGGGATGGGGCGGGTCGAATAGTAGTGGGGGATGGGGTGGGGGTGGGGGTGGGGCGAATTTTTAGACACGGAACAGGAGATGAGGGAGTGAACCCCCGCCCCAACTCCGCCCCATTGCCATCCCTACATTTATTTACTCAATTGCACAATATTGGGGTTAATGATCTTTAATCAACTAAAATTTACAGCCATGTATGCTGCTAAAGTTTAAGTATTGTGATGTTATTTAAATCTTATATCAGTTAGGCTATCTCCAGCCTCCAGGTTACTTATTACTATCTTTATGTGTTGCACTTTATTGCAATGGTGGCTGACCATGCTTAGAGGATTGAAAAGGTGATCTTTACTAGATACTAGGTTCAACATGTTAGGGAATTACAGCTTTGTTTTTTTGCAGAAATAAATAAACTATGTTCAAGTTCTTTAATTACACAAACATGCACCATCACCCTCTTTAAAGGTAAACAACCTGCAGTAATTCAGTAATAATCCAATTAGTAAATTGACTAACTGATTCAATTAGTCAATCAATTCCCTAAATAAATTCATCAAAGAAGTAATCCTTTAAAGCATTCATTTTGTATGGAAAATCTGAACAGAAGGATGGTTTGGCTATAGTAAGGGTTGGCCACATTGGAGAAAAAACACAACTATGTCCGTGCTCTCTAATAAAACGAACATAGTTGACGTGCCCTAGTCGTGAGGTGCACTCAAAATAATTTATCAATACAACACTAATACGTAGTATAGCGAAGTAAGGTTCGTATCCACAGGGAAAGTAATACTTTTCTTCTATATAAATAGTAACAAGGGGGGTTTTAAGTTTGATTTGATTTAATTCAATTAACACTAAGATAAACAACCTATATGAGTTTGATTAATAGATGTGGTGGCTTGATTTTGCTTTTATCCGCTTAATGAAATGTTCGTCGATCCCGGTTATATCTTTAACTATCTTCCTCTCGAATACTCAATCGAGGAGTATATCCAGTTCATCGAGGGTAGTTATTAATAACGAGATGCGTTCATTAATAAAACTTACTATCGAGTCAATATGGGACAATCGCCGTATATTAACTTGATAGTAGCAATAAACTTAAGATGAAAAACGATTGAGATTGATAACCTCAACACAAGCGGTTTATTGGTTTAATCAATATAATTAATTCCCCTTTGGCATATTAACCATGAGATGCATGCATTAATAATCCAAGTTTACTACCGTTGAAAGAACCAGATTAATAACAAGCGTATTAACCGATTGATTCTAGTAATCATTAATATGAAAAACAAAACTAGTTGATACTTTAAGTAATGTTTAAAATATTAACATGAAATGTGAATAGAAATTAATACTCAAGGAAGAATATTAAAGAATATGAATCTTACTATAATTAATATCAAGATGTTAACTAATTGTCATCTTAGTAACACTCCCCAATATTAATATAGAAATAGTATTTTAAAGGAAGAATTAATATTCAAGGAAGAAGATTAAAGAAAATAACTCACAACTTACAAATTCATTAAGCTTCAAAGTAGCAAAACCGAGATGGAAGAGTTTAGCTCCTCATTTGGAGACTAAACATGATGAAAAATATAAAGAAAGAACTATTCTATACTGAGCTTAGTTGTACAAAGGAATTGGATGATCATTTGTGAAGGAAAGGGGGTGTATTTATAGGCTTTTGGGATGGGATTCGGATACTCGATCGGGTATATATATGGTACCCGATCGAGTATGTGTGTAATACCAGATTCGAGGTATACTCGATCCGTTTTAGGCTATTTTCCAAAGGTATACCTGATCGGGTATATGTTTATACTCGGTCGAGTATGCGTAGAAAGTGGTATTCGAGCCATACTCGACCGATTTTACGTTTAAACTCAAAGGCATACCCGATCGGGTATGTCGGTCTACCCGATCGGGTATAGACACTTAATCGTGGCTGAAATCTTCCCAGCATGTTCCCTTGTCTTCGGATCTGATCCGATTTGAAGTTTCAACCTAATACCCGATCGAGTATAGGTAATACTCGACCGAGTATAGACCAAAATTTCAGGATCCTTCTTTCTTTTTGATTTTTTGCACCTTCCTTCCACTTTTGGGGTACACCAATTGTCCTTTGAGTGATCAAGACCTGTTTGAGCTCAGAATATACCTAATCTAAACTATTTACAAGAATTTAACAAACTAAACTATTACACCAAAAGTGTGTAATTTCCAAAGTAAAGATCAAGCAAAACTAATTAAAAACACAAACTTACATATGGAAATTACAAACGTATCAATAGTCGGCCACTTTAGATTGACCCGTGTGCAACAATTCATAAATGATCAAATTAATCGACGGGACATCCATTTCACTAAGGTGGGCCGTGTCACTAAATGAAAAAGATCACAGTGACATGTTTCACGGCGTCAATGACTTGAACGGTGGCTACAGTGACATTGGTGGTGGTTACAGTGACATGGACGGTGGCTAAAGTGACATCAGTGGTGACAACAGTGACATTTGATAGTGACATTAAAATTGGATAGTGACATAAAATTCTAGCAGTTACATAAAATTTGACAGTGACATAATGTTTTTTCAATTCTATGACCTTCCTAAGCACATTTTTGTCCTTTCGTAAAACTGGTCACATTTTTGAAAATAGGCTTTATTGTAATAATATTCAAGTAAAAAGCCCAATTTATATCAATATCAATAATTTTTATTTACTTGAATTAAATTATGTAATTTTTAGGGAGAATATGATATGACTTTGCATCCTATTTTTTGGGTGATATTTGACATTACACATCATTTTCAAATCATTAATGGGATGCACTTCTCAGCCCGAAAATTGTGAATGAGTGGTGTGCAAAGTCAAATAATTTTACTCCCTCCGTTCCATAAAATTCTCCCAATTTTCCTTTTTAAGCCGTCCCAAAATATTATTCCCACTTACCATTTTTGGACAATTTGTGTGGCTCACATGCATACGTTTTTCTTACACAACTACAACCATACATTTTCACTATACTCTCACTTCTTTAATTTGCGACCCAAGTCAATACTCTCACTTCCTTAATTTGCGATCCAAGTCAATGTGGGAGTAGTAAATTGGGGGAAGACATTAATGATTTTGAAAAGAGGTAAATAATTTAAATACTCCGAAACTTTAATGGGGTGTGAGATAATTACTCCAAACTCTAGGGGTGAACACAGTTTGATGACTCTGGTCCAATATACCCGTACTGTGACTATTGAAACGATTCGGTTCGCCTTAGACTTAAATCCGTTCGGTACGATCATTTTCAAATAGGAGGGTACCATGTCATACCAATACCAAATAATACAATATACGCATTTAAAAAAGCACATCTAGTAATGAGGACAAAATCATCAACATAACACAAAAGAAGGATGCAATA